TTTCCATATTCGGTCATTTTCCGACAAAATCCTAGTGGGGGGCTAACTTGACGCTCAGCCCCCCCAAAATTTTGGAACTCAGATCAGACAAAAATTGATTCCTATTCAATCTGAAGTGAAGTGTGCTGTATCAGGTTTTTCTGAAAATTTCCACACTAGGTCATTTTCCAACAAAATCCTACTGGGGGCCTAACTTGACGCTCAGCCCCCCCAAAATGTTGAACATCGAATCAAACAAAAATGGATTCCTATTCAATCTAAAGTGTAGACTAGACTGAATTTTATTTGTTTGTAGGGTACACTTTAATAGCGAAATCCGTTCGCAAAAATAGTGCGGCACTGGTGTGGTACATTCCAAGCGATTAAATATATGCACTGGAGCACATTGGATAAAAATCCATTTTTGTTTGACGTAATTGCAAAAATTTTGAGGGGCTGAGCACCCTTGCCTCCACTCCACGAAAATTTTATCAGAAAATGACCGAATATGGAAATTTTGAGAAAAACCTGATACAACAGAGTCCAGCACACTTTAGATTGCATAAGAATCCATTTTTGTCCCATCTGATTTCCAAAATTTTGGGGGGCTGAGCATCAAGTTAGCCCCCCAGTAGGATGTCGGAAAATGACCGAATATTGAAATTTTGAGAAAAACCTGATACATCACAGTTCAGCACACTTCAGATTGCATAAGAATCCATTTTTGTTTGATCTGATTTCCAAAATTTTGGGGGGCTTATCTTGTTTTTCCTATAACTTTGATATCGGAACGGCACAGTTCAAAATATCATCGGCACAGTAAAGCACACTTCGAGCACAGTAAGTGGCACAATTTTGTTAGAAAATTCGAATGTGGAGGGGGCTAACTTGACAGAGTGAAAAATTCCCTTGCCCCGAAGCAAAAAGTTCTTCATGGGGGCGGCAAAACAAGCTCTTGCACGAGGGCGGCCAAAGAGCTAGAATCGGCCCTGTAAACCAATAGAAACCTGTTACGTTATGACAATATTCTTGCGTCATGACGTCATTTTCATTATTGACCTAGGTTTTTTTTCATTATTTTCATTATTAACCTAGGGAGAGAAATTCAATTTTTTCCCAGAAAATAGATTGAATAATGACTCGAATAATGACTACTTCTCAGGTTAGTAGTAAAAAACAAATTGATGACTTAAACCCTACAATTTTTGTATTAAACTTTTAGTCATAAAATATCTAGATTTCCATAAACCGACATAGGACAAAATAATCGGGCCACTCTGTACCTACAATGATGCCCTCTTATGCGTCACATAAGGCAAGACCGCTCTGCTGCATAGAAAGCCCAACTATTCTAGATTTAAACTTTCCGTAAAAAAAACTCCGCAGGCTGGAGGCTTATCATGCAAATCGTGGAAAAGGGATCGAGGAGAGGTATTCAGAAAAAGTCGAGGAGGAAAAAGTAGAAAAAAAGGAAACCAGATCCCAAGGCCTCAGAAAATAAATATTTTATTAACTGATGGATGATGATCAGTTGAAAGTGCACTGCATGAAGTAGTGGGAACAACGAGGAAGATCTCTTAAAAATAAGGTATAGGCACTAGGTGCATTTCTGGACATAGAGGGTGCATTCAATGATGTAATGAGAAGTTTTGCTGAAAAGTAGTTCATTGAAAAATACTTGGAGCACCTGAAGTTCCAGTTATCATACAATGGATAAAAAAAAACGAATTTTCGCGACGAATATAGTTCATTCAAGGACGAACCATAGTTGGTCTTGTGACGTCATGAGTTTGAACGCTGGCTAGAAGCTGCGTCCATGCTGAAAAGCAGAATCATTAAATGAGGCCGTTCCGCTAAATTGAAATAAATGTTTCTAATGTAAGACAAGTACTTCTGCTACACTTAACATATTGTTTAATATAGTTATTAAAATTATGCTTTGAAACATAACAATTTTATTTAAAATTGAATTTTTGCCATTATTTGAAATTGATTTTTGCGCCTTTATGACGTATCATGACTCCAGCCAATAGGAGACGACATGAACGAAAATGATCCATAACAACCTAAACCCTGAAAAATACGCAACCAGATAACAATATACACTTTTAATTTTTTACAAAGAATCAACACTGAACTGACAGATTTCAATGTCATTACCGCCCCCTTAATTGGTTGCTTTCTAGTTCTGATGACAGATTGGGAGACGATAAATGCTGTACTATAATACTATTGGTCAGAGTCAATCAAATTATTAGTAAACTTTGTTTCATGATGGTTCATACTTTTGACAAAATTTGTCCTCCCTTTTTAACAAATAGAAATTGACTCAAACAAATCAATGACGTCAAAAACGTTCGTCGATTCATAAACCAGAAGTCATTCATTTTAATTTGTGAAAAAAATTGGATGTGTCATGGATTAATCTACGACAACACTTTTTTTTCTAGTTTCAAGGTCAAGTATGAACCCTGGTGAAACAAACTGTACAGATCGCTTCACATACGTGACATACATACATTTTATATCGTATTCAGGCATTTGGAAAACCCAATAAAAAAGAAAGGCAAGATGACCCGATTGGTGACTATACCATAAGGACAAGAACAACCAGAGGGACTCCACAAGGAGGAGTGATATCTCCACTTTTGTGGCTGTTGGTAATCAATCAATATAATTTTAAAAACCTTTAGAGAAAGGAGGATAAAATTGATTGCGTATGCTCATGACGAAGTAGCACTGGTGGGGCTTCCAGCTTATCAATCATCAGTGAAATCATGTAATCAGTATCAAAAGAACTCTCCAGATGGGCAGGACAGAACGGATTGGGAGTAAACCCCTTAAAAAACCAAGCTAGTTCTGAAACATGAAAATACAAAATCCCTAGTTTTACAATGTCAACAGTTGGGGGATAAACCCTCGAATTATCAAAAGAAGCGAAGTATTTAAGGGTCGTTCTTGATTCCAAACTCTCGTGGAGAGGAAACACGGAAGAAAGAATGAAAAAAGGCCACACACTGCGATAGTGAAACCCATTATAAGCTATGAAGGGATAGTATGGTGGATTGACAGAAAGGTGAAAATGCTCAAAAAAGTTTATACAGATAATGGCGATACTTGGTACAATAGGAGAGTAAAAAGAAGCACACCAATGCCAATAGACTTGTTCAGAAGAGGCATAGCTGCAAAGGGAGTTCTTAGACTAAGAGAATCCAAACTGTGGAAGAAAACCGATTATGGACACTCGACAAAACTTAAGGATACAGCCAAAATGATGGACCATCCTAACACAGACAAGGACAAAGAGAAAAAGCTATATGCCTCTAGAACCAAAAGAACTACTAGAATAACGAGGAAAAAGTACAATAGCAAAATATAGAGCAGTAAATGCTAACATCAGATAGGATATCATAAAAACTGAACCGAGAATCAGAGAGGAAAAAAAATTAAACCTTAAAAAATATATATATACGAAATATTAAACCACACTTAAACTTAGTAAAAAGTCAGAGAGTTGAAATAAACAGAAGCCGATTGCCCAACCAAAATGGGTACTTGGAATTGGAAAGCCCAAAATTCACCAACAGAAGGCAAAGTTTTGAATCACACAGTTATAAGATACGACTGCCAAACTTGGACAGCTAGTACGACCAACTCGGAAAAAAATGGTAAAACGCAGAAGTCTATGGAAACATCGATGGTAGGAATATAAATGGTTGATTGAAAAGCTATTAATGAAGTCCTTGATGCTGAAAAAAAAAACATCACAAAGTTCAATTGGAGCTTTAAGGGACATAACGAAAGACAAAATTTTAATAATGAAACACTATTAGCCAAATTGAAGGCAGTCAGATGAGTTGGATGGATTAGGATAGTTGGATGCAACCAAGCGGCACAGAACAGAGATCAAAATGATTAAATAAGAACAAGAATGTTGATATTGTTGACCCTTGACACACTTTATTTAGTAACTCTGTTTAGAAGGGTTATTCCAGGTTTGCACATATAGCATGCAGTTAACATCTCAAACTGATACTTAATTGTTACATACAAATTACCCACATAACTAATAATAATTGCATAATTAAAACATAACAGAAATTTCTCGTAAGGGGCACTTTTGGCCGATTAAACTGGAGTATGTGCTGATATATAATATGGTAAGTTTATTGTAAATGAGTCACTGATAATAATTCACAAGTCCAACATTATGTTTAAGAATAGCTAAGTTTTTCTGTGCAAGTAATTGGAAGAGTCTAATGCAGCAAACTTTAACTTAGTAGAGAATAGAATGAAGAGCTAGAAGTTGTGCTACCTTTCTGAACCCTCTCCCCTACTAAATGTTCTTCTCTTATCCTGACAAACCCAACCAGATTTTTTTTTTTAGTAAAACAAGCATTACAAAAATTATCATCCATTGTTCCATTGTACATACCTAAAAATACCGAAGGTGCTCAGTACTACAGAAGGCTTGGCACCCTCGCTGCAAGACAAATTGTACAAAAAAAGGCTTCGGAACATAAAAAAAAAGCACATACATAATCAATATGTACACTACGTTACACACTAAACACTACCAGAAAATCTAATCTAAAACAAAACTTAAAAAAAAAAATACATTAATCTACATAATTGCAAATCTACACATGGCACATTAAAATGTTGGCAGAAATATTATCTGGTAGTTTAGCAGCTAATAAACTACAAATTTATTGCTAGTTGGACACTACAATAATTCGCTGTTTAACCATTATTTATGTAGGTATGTGGCATTTAAAGATATTTTAGTTACCATACAACTTAAAGAGTTCTTGAATGTTAACATTATCAAAGTGTTTTCTATTAAAAAGAATATTTGAAAGTTATCTAATCCATCACCAACTTTTTAAGTAAATATTTAAACTTGTATTAAATTATCCACTGTTCAAAAAAATTAATTAAAAATTAAGCAATCCAACAAGCAATCCTTAACCCAATCAATAAGTTCAAAAATAAAGCAAAAACAACCAAAATTAACTTACTTTAGAAAATTGTCGTTTTCTTCGTTCATCCTGTCCGCGTCTTTTGCTTTGTATTTTATGAGCCTTTCTACCAATTGTCGATTTTCATCCTGGAAAAAAATGGCAATACAATGGGGATTGATCAATGGGGAACCACATCAATTTTTAAAAATAAATTTTGTACCCACACTTGTTTCACTAATGGTTTTTTAGTTAAACATAAACAACCAACGACAGGTTGCCTCTATTATAAATAAGAAGGTATCGAACGTGAACGATTTGTCTTGCTACTGAGAAAAACGACGCCTTCAACCGGATATAACACACTGTCACCAGCTTTCATCAATTAGATTTGGATTTAATCCAAAAATTTTCTAAACATATGAAACAACAGAGCAGTTGTGCATGTTTGACGCATTTCTTTGGATTGGCAAGAGAGGCTCGTTAAAAATTGAATATATTTGAGTATACCTGAATTATTATTTTGAATTAGCAGAGGAAACAGGCATAAATTTATTTTTGGTAAAAAGTGAAACTCCTAAAAATAATGCAAACACGGCTTCATTGATTTCGTCACTGAGGATACAGCAACCAGAAACGCAGAAAATTGATATGAGGCTTGGAAGAGATTAATAACAGCCTTAAACTCATGGAAATATAAATGTATGGTTTGACAAGTCACAAATTGAAATAGTAAAACCATGCAATTTTTTCTAAATGAAGAAACTAAGTAATGACTCATTCTATAAGAAGTTTTTTAAAATAGAAATAATTCTCACCAGAAATTTCTTCACTACTGTATTTCACAAAATATCACTGAATTTTCAAAAAAAAAAAACAAATACCTATACGTAGAGGGCAAGAACAAACAATACGTACTCCACCTGGAGGATTCAAAACACAATCTAACAAATAATTAGAATTAAAAATAGCACTCCTCGGATCAATGCAAAGTTTTCTTAAAATAAATATTGTATTTTGAAAGGCCCAAGTTTTGGGAAAGAAGATCTAATTTTGGATTTTAGAACATAACAATTTTTTTGATTGAACGGAGACATCCATGTATCTATGATTGTTATTACCTACATATGTTGTATGTAAATTTTCTTAGTAAAGTTGTACCTAGTTAAACTGGCAGTTTGTTGTGTGGGTGAAACTTTCCAACACAATGGAAAAACTGATGAGGACAATAAATTGATACAAAATTACTTAAAACTAAACTTCAATCAACCTAAACCCACTCCTGTATGAAAGATGTTTTAATATTATTCCAAAAATCTAAAAATATATACCTACAAGTTAAGCCCCAGTGACGCGTTTTCCTCCCAAATAATATTTTCATGATGAAGCATTTCATTATTACACCCAGCTGCTGAGTAATAATAATTGTTTTGGAACAGTGAGATTATTTGTTTTTTTAGCATGGTGTTTATTTTCCTAGCAATTGGGTTTTATGCATACAGTAGTTACTGTTACGACTTCCAGAAATAATCATTTATTTGCAAAACAAAGGTTTGTGTTTAAAAACAATAGTGTGGCCAGTGTGGGCAATTTTTGATGGGTACTTAATCGTTAAATAGAAGTTACGAGGGGTAAACTACTAGTGGATATTATTGTATATTTTTTTGGGAATCACATAGTAATCAATGCATGGAAATCACTTGGGAATCCCTGGAATCTCCTAGGACTGCACAAGAATCACATAGGAATCCATTGGCAATTGTTCAGAATCATCTGGCAATCACTGGGAATATCATCTCATTCTCACCCAGAAATCGCATATCGTACATTTTAAATTTCTAAACGATACAGTGTACCGTTTAATTTGTATTTGCCTTTAAGACCAAGTTTTAGAGAACAGTGCTAGACAATTGGAAATGTATTTGATATCTCAACGAGTTTCCCAAAGAGTTGAGAACTTGAAGAAGAAGAAGAACGAGATGAAGATTAGGTCTGTTCTCACAGAAATCACAAACCAATCAGAGCGTTTTTGATTGGTGCAAATCGCCAACAACCAGTTTTCTGACTATTTTCAACCAATGAAATTCGCTCCGACTGGTTTGTGATTTCTGTAATAACAGACCTATAAAGTACGACAATGTTGTAGATCATATATGTATACAGTGTGTCCGAAATTCGAGTCTCTACATGGGGATTTCGCTTATTATGAGAGATACAGGGTGGCTCAAATTAGGAAAGTTTTAGGGAATTTATTGCTCATTTATATCCTGTTGTTAAATTTGCTTCAAAGTTTTCTGTTTCCTAGAAATCCGAGAAAAACTATAATTCATAAACCGTTAACTTTAGACTTTTCTAACTTTAACATGACATTTTTTTGAGACGGATATTTTCGTGATTTGAAAACATTCCGATCGTCGTTTGTTTTCGAGTTATTAACCAAAACTTTCTTATTTCTTATAGCGGCTATCTTCGATTTCAACAAAATAATATTCTGCGAAAAAAATCCTTTAAAATGATGTATTACAAGCTATGAAAACATTTTGCAAGTCCTTCAAAATTACAGTTGGAACCGATATTTTGCTAAATTTGGCAACAATCCTTATAGTTATAAGAATTAAACCGAGAATAAAACTAAATAGGTATGATTTAATACCTAGAATCGGTATTTTTGAAGTCTTCTGGCAATTTTACTGGATAAAGCAAAAATAAGTAAAGTTTGTTTCACCAGGGTTTGTACTTGCCACCAGCATTTGCCTTCCTTGTTGAACAAATAAAAATTCAGTGAAACAAATCAATGACGTCAAAAATGTTCGTCGGTTCTTAAACCAGAAGTCATTCATTTTAATTTGTCAAAAAATTGAATGTGTCATACGAATTAATCTACGACAACCCTTTTTTTTCAAGTTTCAAGGTCAAGTATGGACCCTGGTGAAACGGACCTTAGGTAAGGTATGTAACATGTAATTACAGCTTTTCCTCCTTTCTTCTTCCGGTTTTACGCTTCGGGAAAAATTATACCAATTTGGATATTCCAGATACAATTCTTGTTTTTGAGTGAAGGATGAATTTGCCCCTTGTCCTTTCTTCTTTGTTTCTGTTATGGCTAGCAGTTTCAAGTCTGTGTTTTCGAATTCTTCTTCTAGTTCTTTTTCTTTCCCGAACATACTTCTAATATTCCACGTACCCATTTTACATATTTCCTCAGTTTTCTTGTTATTACTAACTTCCTTATTCATAGTCCATTGCATTGCTGTGTTGTTTTCCCCATTCCTTGTATTGTTTGTTTGGCTATTCAGTTTTTTGACAAGGTTTTTCCTGTCTTTTTTAATTTATTTATTTCTTTATCCCTTCTCCACTCCTCTGCATTTACCGTTACCTTATTGAATCCTATCTTTACTTCTTTTCCTTTTTGCCTTTCCTGGTTTGCAAATATTCTTATTTCATTTTGTTTTTCTCTATCCTGCTTGGTCACATCATCATTTATAAAAACTCTTTCTCCTCTCATGTCCTTTAGTTTTGTTCCATTTTCCATGATTTTTCTCTTATCCGCTTCATTTTGTAGTTCTATTATCCAGGTTCTCTCTGCTATCCTGGTAACTGTTTTCGGTGTAACATTAACTTTTAATTGTTGGTTCAAAAATGCCTTCACATCTTCTACCAGTACTGCTGGCTCATTGTTATCAAATTTTAATCCATTCATCACTACATTATTTTTTCTTCTCCCCTTATCTATAATTTCTATTGTTTTTCTTACCTCTTGCAATTCGGTTTTTATTTCTGTATTCTCTCTTTTAATTTCTTGATTATCTTCGTTCTCTCCTCTTAATTTCAAGAGTTCTTCATTAAACATCGATTGTTGATCCCTAATTTGTTTGAGTTCTTCTTTAAGCTCTTTGTGATCTGTAGACATTTCCTTCATCAACGCTAGCATTTCTTCTAACTTTTCATCTTTTTCATTTGAGGCGGAGGAACATTCAGGTTTTAGAGCAGGAAGATCAACTGTAGACCATTTATTCAGTTTGACCCAGGTAATGAGAAAGAAATTAGCGTATAACCAAGAACTCCATTTACTCTTTGTAGATCTAAAGAAAGGATATGACAATGTTCCACTGAAAAAGCTTTGGGAAGGACTGGAAAAGACCAATATCAATTTAGAACTAATAAAGGCAGTAGAAACGTTTTATAGTGATGCAAAGACCAAGATTAAACAGGGAAACACAATCAATAAAGGCTTTATAGCAACTAAAGGACTTAAACAGGGATGCGGCATATCACCAACACTTTTTAAGATATACTTAGAACAAGCGGGGTGGAAAAACAAATGCAGACACATAGGAATACCGCTTAATGAATACAATTTATATACTTTAAGTTTTGCAGATGATCAAGTAGTAATCGCACAGGAGTATGATGACCTACATGACACGAAAACTGATAAGAGGAATACGAGAAATGGGGTTTGGAAGTAAAACTAACTAAAACAGAATATATTACTATAGGAGGTGAACAGCGAACTCTGAAATTGAATAAAGGACAAGAAATAAAACAATGTACTGAATACAAATATTTGGGCATGAAAATCTCACATGAGGGAACCCTAGACGAAGCAATTAAAGATCGGAATTTACAAGGACGCAAGGCAATATCCCTACTAAATGGTGTACTGTGGGACCAAAATATCAACAAAACTAGAATATACAACACTATAGTCAAAAGCATAGTCACATATAGCTCAGAAGTCTGGCCACTAAAGAACAGAACCGCAAAGGAGCCCGCACATTTCTTATAGATCTATGTGGAATTTTGCTGAATTTTTGATATTGTGTATAGGGAGTCTTCCTTAACAAAAGTGATCATTGCGCTAATGTTCAATACCCAACAGTTTTCAAGATATCAAATAAAAACTTTTTTAATTTGATACTCTTCAGTATGACGTCACCAGTATGCTCACAGCACCGAAAATTAAAACTATCCTTTTCACTTTTAACTTTGACTGCCTATACTCTTCTCTTTTTAACATTTAGGAAATAAAAAAAAACAACAACAGGTACAAATGAAATCGCTATATGACAGACATCATGACATGAAGTTGACGATTGCGGCAGGAGCTAGAGGTGCTATTTGCATACCTACCTATTTGTCACTAATCGCTATCGTTATCTTTTTTTTTTCTTAATGTTAAAAGGAGAAGAGTAAAGTCAAAGTCAAAAGTGGAAAGGATAGTAATAATTTTCGTTGCTGTGAGTGACGTCATACTGAAGAGTATTATTAAAAAAGTTTTTAATTAATTGATATCTTGAAAACTGTTGGGTATTGAACATTAGCGCAATGATCACTTTTGTTAAGGCCGACTCCCTATACACAATATCAAAAATTCAGCAAAATTCCACATAGATCACTTTTCCATAAGAAATGTGCGGGGTCCTTTTTGTATCATAGTTTGGCTATTTGCAGATGTATGGGATCTCGTTACTAAAAACACTGTCCCTCAGGCAGTTTCAAGAAAGAGGCTTTTCAAAATATTTCAGTACTATTAGCAGTATCTCCAACAATACACAAGATTTGTTTTATAATCATTATTTAATTTTGGAGTAGATTTAATTAGATGATAAGATTGGTTAAGTAATTTTCGACTAGCTACAAACACCTCCCATCTATTATTAAAACGTTATCTACTCAAAATTTAACAAACATTTATCATTTTTTGCATTTGTATGCCTACTAGGTGTAATTAAACACATAACATATGAAATCTCTGATACTTTCCAGGCATACCTACATCTTACATAAAACACCATTTGAAATTGAGTCATAAATTATTACCTATCCAAGCAATTTTATAATTATAAACCAACCTAAAAACGAAAACAAAATACCTCTTGATGATTTATAATTCTTATGATATGTATGCATAATAAACGTTTTACTTTAAAACAAAATTACCTGAGTTTTTCTAAGTTTTTCCTCCAACATACTGAAGTCCAACTGCAAAGTGGAATGTTCGTCCCTCAAAGTATCGTTCACGTGCTTCAATTCCCTGTTTGCCTGAGTTAGCATAGCAATTTCGGCTTTTAAACTTAGAATTTTTGATTGGCATTCGGCTAAGCTAAAAATTGAAACAAACAACTATTTTTGTTGTAATTTTTTAGTGATGATACTCACCTATTGTCTTTACTAGCAATTAATGAATCTCTTTCTTGCAGTTTGATGTTTAAATCTATAATTTGTTGAGAGTTTTCTCCTTTTCTTCTATGGAGATCTGTCAATTCTTCAGCTTGCACTAGCAGTTTTTGCTTCAATTGTTGGACTTCTTCATTTAGTCTATTTTCTATTTAAAAAAAAATTGAGAGGACATATTTCAAATTAGAATTGACTTTACCTAATGCACTAGACGATTTGCCACCGTTGCCTCCTTCCAATTTGAGCTTTTCGTTTTGAATTGAGAGCTGTAAGTTTTCATGGCGAAGGGAATTGGCGTTTTCGAACACTTTAGTATCTAAAAAAATAAAATGATCATTAAAACATGGTAAAAATACACAAACAATGGAATATGTAAGTACAGGGTGATATTTCAAATTCCGTTATGTTGAATAGTACCTAATTTCCTAATTAAGGTATTTTTTAATTTTATAGTTTAGATGCATAATGAGGCGTTAATTTCTCAAACTGATTTTAGTTACACTAATATCAGAAATTATTCAAATTGGGTGAAAACCTTTATTGACTATTTACAGACAAAAGTTTCATTTCATTTCAATTTAACCTTTTTTCTGCTAACAGTATGAAAGTTAATTAACCAAAATTGCAGAAGATAACTTCAAACGTCATCCAAAAAAAATGAAATTTTAAGGATCAAGTGCTGCTTCTACATGTTTTGTAATTGAATTTATCTACGAGCGTTTAGTTATGACGTTTTTACATAACCATTTTTCTAGTATTTGAGTTACGTCATGAGATTCATAACACAACTAGTGGTGTTATAGACTAGGTTATGAATTCATAACACAACTAGTGGTGTTTTGTACGAGGTTATGAGTCTATAACACAACTATTTTTGGTGATTTGACAAATGTCAAAGGTAAACCTGTAAAGGTGAAATGAAGGTAGACAACTATTAATGAACGAAAATAATTGGAAAAATATTCTTATTTTTCGCTTTGTAGATAAAACGTTGTACATCACACGTGCGTTTAAACATGACTACAAAACTCGTGTGATTAGAACGACTCGGTCTACGACCTCGTCGTTCTAATCTTTCACACTCGTTATTGTAATCATGCTCATAAACGCACTTGTAATGTAAATAACTATTTCCATTGAAAAATTTATTATACTGTTGCATTTACGATTTCAAAGTTGCCATCACTGCTGGACCAAAACTGGAGCAAAATTGAAAAAATGGATGAAACATGTGGAAGCTGTGTTTCAATTTTATTGGATGATTTAGAGACGAAGTTATCACCGAATGTGAAATGTGGTGGGAAACCCTGTATTATAAAACTAGACTAACTAAAACCATCAATAATGAATTAATTCTTAGGTAAGAGTATTAGGCATTCCAACGACCTGTCAAAAAGTGCGTTGTGGCAGAAGTTCATTATCCCGTATCTGAGAGTATGTAATTTAAAGCTTTTTAAAGTGCATTTTGTGGTTGTTTTGTGAATGAACTCTGTTTATTTTTTTATCTTATTGACTTCATTAGTGTTTCTTCCAATTAAAAATGCCACAAACGGGTCTTGAAGTTGATTGTGGAAGTAGTTTCAACAAGGTAACAAGAATGATGTCAGGCTTTTTTCATTACCCTTTGTTTTAAAATTTTCCATTTAAAACGTGAAATTTTTTTACTACCACTGTTCCTGCATCTGAAATAAAGCCATTTTCGAAATATTCGTAGTATATTATAACAAAGTAAACTGTAATTAGCTTGAAAATATTCCAAATAAACTCAAGATAAACAAACAAACGTCAAATTTTCCACGGTCGCCATATTGAAAAATCATGTGGTTTGGAGAGCCTAATTGGGTGAATCATAGAATCAAATTGACAACTTGCACAAGAGTCTAATTGATAAATGCCACCTTAATCAAGGACCATTAAATTATTATACACTTTTGCTTATTATATCATAGGTACATACTCCTAGTAAATTGGCATATCATTATTCTATTTATCCTAATGTTTACTCTCGTGTTTACTTTTCTAATCATTATTGGTTGCTATTATAAGGTGTTTGCTTAAGATTTAGGAATAAGTTACATTCGAAAGGGAGAGATTTCCTGTATAAGTGCTACTGCCCAATAAACATTTTTGTTTTTATAATATTTACCGTAAATGTTATATCACCTTCTTTATATAACTTAAGGTTTTATATCCATTTACCGAAATATTTCTGTTACACCTATAGACCCTTTAAAGAGCTTAAATTGAGCGTTTATAAAGGTTTCGAAAACCTGTGTTTAGTAACGGTATATAACTTTAATTTATGTAACCATTGGTAAGGGAAATATTGTGGTAACCACTATATAACTTTTGTCAATTCTGTCATCATTATAAATACATATTTTTTCTCTCTCAAATACATTGCTTTAAATGGTCTCCTACTATTCTATTCCCACAATTCTATTTCAAGATGTCTGTTACTAAAAAAAAACAAATATGGAGTCCAAATATTAATAATATTCACCTATTAGAAAACGATGGTACTTTGTTGTAATTTTACAGCATTGGTAGACTCAAAATATAGTTGGGAAACTTTTTCTACTGCAAAAGTAGAACCGGTACTTCGAAAAAACGCAGGGGCCCTTCAAATATTCACTTTTTATTAATTTCAAATCAGTTTTCTCACAAAATATACACATATAAATATTAATTAAAATGAGATTTAAGAAGAAATTAATGTCATTTCCGTTTTGCATATGCCAGTATTAAACAATTATTGTATATTTTGCATCAAAATCAGCTTAACCTAGTGTTTTTGCAACGCATCTTTTTTATTATTATGATTTTGGTTAGAAAAATATGGCGGATCACTTTAGTAACAATATAAACTCTGGAAACTATAATATCACCTAAGGTTATATTTTATAACTATTAGTAACATTATGTACTTAACTTTTAACCAGATGCCGTCAGCGCCGGTATTGGCAATTTTGGTCTCAAAATAGTGTTATTCCTATAATCATCATGTTTATCAGTTCCCTCAAGTAATTTATTTTCTTGTCTACGAAATTGTGTTTAGTGTCCTCGTGGAAGATACTGAGGGCACTGAATTTGAGATTTTATTAAATTTTTTTGAAATTTTCTGGCGAAATGATGTACTGAACTTCATTTTTTTCAAAATCATTATGCACAGATTTCTTATAACAATAATAAACAACAACAGACACCTGATTATTGTCATATGTCAAATTAGGTAGTTTCGTTTTACTAAAGGTTTACTAAAGGAAATTATCGTTACCAAAAGTTTTATAACATATACTGCAAACACTACTAGTTTCCAGGTTCTATAAAGGCGATTGACAACACTTTTATATAACTAGGGGTATTCTAGTTATATAAATGAGGTAACGGTAACCTTTATAAAAATTTCTTATAAATACTTTAGTAACGGGTACTAAAAGTTTTAAAAAAATGGTGATGGAAATAGTTACATCACCTTATTATATACCTGTAAGTTATAGTAAACTTATAAATACTTTATAAGCATATGTTACCATAGGTTGCAGATTATAAAACTTGGAAACCTTCTTATATACCTTTGTTACTATTATATACCTATTATATAACTTGACGTTACTATAAGTTGCAAAAAATGTTTATTGGGTGTTTACCTATTTTAAAATATGTATTGTGACCACAAGAAGTAGTATCAGTATCAGCATCATATATAAATAAAATTGTGAAAATCTAGTTTGTTTCCTTTCAAAGTTGGATTTCCTCCAAGTATCAGCTCAATTAATCTGTCATGTAAATTAAGTTAAATCACTTTAAATCTTGTCAAATCTGTTTTCATCCTAATAAATCAACTTCAAATGATACCTATAAATCACTAAAAACCAGGTTATTCTAGCATAGATATTTTTAAAGATGTATATTTATCAGGTGAGACATTGAAAGATTTTGAGGAGTTTCACCTCCAACTTCACAAGATACAGGAAATCAGATAAAAAAGCATAATGAATATGAGAAAATCAAAGTTGAAGTGAAGAAGTAATAGGCCATAGGTATTGTTGCATCAACGGGTCAGCAATTATAATGTTTGGGTTTAGACATGGTTGGCCTGAGTTGCAATAATTGAGTTTTGACCTCCGATATTGTTTGTAACCAAGCTACTATACGCATTTCCGACGTCATCAGAGAGTCAAAGTGATGCATTTCTTTGCTTGTCCACTTGAACAGCCACCCTGTCTCTTCCCTACTGCCTCATTTTTATTTAGACCAGTCGAATATTCTAGAATTCAGACCGTTACCTAGTATATAAATAGAGGTCACTGTTAAAACGTGATTCAGATTCAATGTGGAATATGACTCAATGACAATAATTTTTCTTCTAGAGAAAAACTTCGCAGCTACGTGCATAATTGCTGGAAGAAAAAAATGTTTTTTTTTTTCAGCTTTGAAAGCTGCCATGTGATGTGTTTGGATCAACTAGGCTCATTTATATTGTATTATAAATTATAATTCAAAAAAAGTCCCCCATTTCTGCGTTTCAGTTCCAAGCTGCCCCTTTCCTGTATTGACCAACAAGGCCCAGCTGTGTTGTGTCATCGTTATGACCTGTGACCAAGAACAGAGCCCCCTTTTGTGTTGAGGTCCCAAATTGACCACTTTCCTTTTGTGATTCTCCTTTTTTAAGTAACAAATCGGATTGTGAAGTCCTTATGGATTGTGTAACGGTCCTATACTTTATGCGAGACTTGTATGTTTATGCTATCAATGGCATCTTTAGGCAATCCTCAAAATCAAAGCGATGTTTGGATAACATTGCGATTTCAGTCATAAGGAATCCTTTGAATAGAAATGACAGTTTTGGAAATGGCAAAAATTGCCATGAAATTATGGAATTACCACGAAACATGTACATTTTTTAAAGGAGGAGTTTCCTCGGCTCAAGTTTTGTCCAGCTGAAACTGTCTATAGAAAAACCAAGAATACCTATATATGATGGGTTATTGGTTATAGATGTCACCCCCCTCTAGCTTTCTAATTTGACATTTTAGAAAGAAATGTCCCAAATAAAAGTTTTATGTCGGTTTTCCACCAAACAGACAAAACAAAAACAAAACCCAAAATCAAACTTTTCCCAAACATTTTCAAGACTAGCCCCGAGAAAAGAAAACGTAGTCCGCTTGATGGAAACAAGGATTTTGTGTTTATTTCAGTTTTGTTTTTGTTTTAAAACATGTTTTAAAGCATAAACTCAACAGTCCGTTTAGTGGACAACCGGCATTATGGTTGAAATCATTTTTTTTTCAAAAAACTCATTTTCGCATATAT